ACCTAATGGTCCATGTGTATTCGTAAAGTTTGTATACTTATTCATTTAAGAAGATGTGGACATTCTGAGGGAATCTTATCCTCTGTACGTCCTTTGTGCCTTATGAGAGTCATGAACAACTGGTGCCATTCCTGACCGAAATAGGGTTTCATTTAGAAAAGGAATCTTTCCTTTTTTGAACATGCAGTATTCTGGCCAGCATGGAAGAAAATTACCTTGGATACATCATTTCCAGCAAACTATCACTGATTGGTAGAGTTCCCATTCCTGAGCAAGCTGATTGAGAAGCTTGGTAAAAGCCATCTATGGGATAATCTAGTTGCAGGTAGTATTCTAGGCCTAGAAGAATCTTCGAGAATTCAGATGTGGAACTGAAATCATCTCAGTGGAACTGATGGTGAATAGAGATGACCATTCTCATCTCTTTGGATCTCTAAACAGTCTTTAACATCACTGGCAGTGAGACTTTGTCCTCTCATCTAAGAGAGGTGGGAGTTGTTGAGGGAAACGCACATAAACAGTTTGAATCCACCCTGATGGCATGCACCTGATGAGTAGTCAATGAGGGAAATGGCATCTCTACCATAAGATCTTTCACTTCTGGGAGCCTGAGCTGCATAATCTCATACCAACCTTCAAGGGGTTAACTAGAGCTTATAAACTATATTAACCTCACCTGGTACACCTGGAGAAGGGGATCTAGGCAGGTAAAGGGAGGAATTTGAGTGCATGTGGGGCTGACAGAAGAGGAGAGAGAGGTGATTTTGAATTTCCCTTTGTGGAAGAGCCTTGCAGAATATAAGAACTGGGAGGAATATAAGAGAGTTGAAAAAAAATCTCAAGCCTAGGATGAGAGAAAGTCATCAAGTTTGTATTTTCCTTCTTTACTGAGTTTCCTTGAGGGATAGTAGGAAGGTGTCCGTTGTGTTACTGATCTGAGGGTAGAGAGGTAAGGCTAGAGAGGAGCCCAAATATAAACTTGTATTTATTTTGGCAGGCATTTAATTTATTTAGGGCATTGTTAAACCTAGAAGTGGTCAAGCTATATGTAACCCAGAAAGAGGGCTGAATTGCAATAAATGATGGACCCCATTGGGGCAAAGGAAGTTATTGGCATAGGGTGTCTGCTGCATAATGCCTGGCCATGAGAGAACACGTTAGGCAATAAGTCGCACACTTTTTGGCAGACCCAGAAGGTTCCGCAGTT